TCAGCACTGAACAGATCATAACCCCAAACACATGGACACACGGCATGCACACATGATGGCTAGATACACTGGTCGAACCACACACATTCATATCCATGGAGAGCAAAAATATATACACACTCTGACGAAAACAGATAGACTACTCACGGGCACATACGCGAGTCCCACGCAACACAGGAAGAATGTGTATTTGTGCGTGTGTATGCGTGTGAGTAAATATGTGTATGTATATATACATGGGCATGTATATATATATATATATATATATATATATATATATATATATATATATATATGTTTATGCTGATTCCTTTTATAAGACAGTGTATATGCGGAGGAATATACATATACATGTGCAAGCTAACGTAGACACGCGCACACACGATACACAAAAATGGCAATAGATTTGACAGTCTGAAGGGTAATGTAGGGATAGGAAGGCATCTCTCATCAACACATCTATCATCACCACAACTCAGACCAAACCTGATGATTTTATTACCACTTAGGTAGAAATTCAATTTTTCCAGCAATCCAGAAATGAGATCAAGGCTCACTACAAATACCAAAAACAAACAATGAAACATTAAAAGAATAGAAGGAAAATTTATTCCTTTAAAAATTTATTCCTTTTATTTGCCTGAAGAAGGTCGCGAAACCGGAAGCCAGTGTAGCAGAAATATGAAGAATAAGTATAATATCTACACTAAAACAAATCTACATTATCACCAAAAACGTTTGCGGTTTCTCTGTTTTTAATATATATATATATATATATATATATATATATATATATATATATATATATATTGAACAATAAGAAAATAAAAAATTAAAAATTAAAATCATTAGACACACTGGGTTGTAGTTTAATATTCTTTCGTTTTTTTATTATTATTATTCCATTTAGATTCCTCGACTAGTTTCGACCGAAATGGCCATCATCGGGAGGAGAAATATTTCTGCTTGCTGTTAGCAGTGAACTACAGAAATGAATGTCTTTTGTTGGAGAATATATATATATGATGGGCTCTCCCATCGAGTTCGATGTATGGTGTTCTGACGACTACGAACTAATTATCTGTATGCCTATGACGAGCATGACTTTTGCGACCGGCTCGAGAATTGCACAAAAGACCACAAACAGTACATGAGAATGTATTTTATCTAAGTGCAGCTGGAACACTGTTTTATATATATATATATATATATATATATATATATATATATATATATATATATATATATCGTAAAGTTAATAAAAATCTGTGCTGAAAAGTGATATAGTTCCAATTTCACGAGTTATTATTAGTGATTTTTATTCTTCTCTGGGTATACGCTTTGTGCTATATTACAAGCAGATGAAAATTACTAAATGCTTCTAAAATCTGATAGCTCTGCTGTGATCAGTATGAAGTGACAAAATCCCTGAACATCGTATTCTAACTTGGGATTATTAATCGAATGTATGGCAGTATCTTCCTTAATTACGAACCAAAAGAATTCACTTAAGAAGGATAACTCACGCTTTCAAGTCCTTTCTTACATGAAACCACATCTGATGACATTTTTTTAATAGCTGATGTACGAATGTAAATCAACGCTTCACCATTGCAGACAGTTTTTCCCGCCATTTGAGCGTGCATGTCTCTGTTTGTTTAATCAAAATGCAGACGTGTTGAACGCCTGAGCGCCATTAGCCTTAACGGAAGAACATATGGGACGAACATATTTTTAATTGCATTATTGAAATTTTAGATTATTTGTTGTTGGAATCTTTTTGCTGAAAAGAAAGGAACAGAAAATGACAGAATTGCTTATCTTCATAGCTTATTTAATAAACTACTTGACCCTGAATTTATGGCTCCATCTGTTAGCGCTAGCTCGTAAAGGTTAAAAATGAATCCAACACGACTAGATTACGACACTTCCTTTTCTTAAAACGTTGTCTACCTCACTTGGCTGATCTTCAGACAAGGTCGGTTTGAGGCCTTTCTCGCTAACACTTTATTTTATTTTAAAATGAAGAAGCTCAAAAATAAAATGACTCCATTAGTTCGTCGTCCAACAATTTTGAAATAAAGAAGATTAGAAATAAAAATAAAATGTTATGGCTGAATTTTTCTCTCGGTAAAAAAGAAAAAAATACTCCGTCATTTCTGTTGGCCCTTTCGATGAAAACGAAAAACTTAACGCGTAAATCCGGCTTGAAGAATAACGAAGCAATATAAGATTGCCCAATGGTTTTAAAAAAATGTTGGTTTGATGGGAACTAATGAAAAAATTGACCTTTATTGTCATTCATTTTCTTCATTATTATTATTATTATTATTATTATTATTATTATTATTATTTATTATTATTATTATTATTATTATTTCCTTTGTTTTCTGTTGTATACGTATTTCCTTCCGGGTCCCGACCAGAAACCTAAGGTCAGAAATGGTTTCATGACATTTTCCACTGAATATTTTTGTAAAAAATACCCTCCCCACACAAAAAAAAAAATCCAAAAAACTATGATCACACACATTACATAGATAAAGTAATTCATAATGTATGAGCTGTACACGTGAATACAATTTTTTTTTGTATTTCTTTAAGTCACAGGCTACCAGAAATTACTTGATGTCCTCATGTGCCACATTTTTGAGATTTCCACTTCAAGATCCTTGTATTTTGATAATTTTTTGAAGATCCTCAAAGATACATTACAATCTCCAGGAACTGCCATATCGATAAGAAAGCACATTGTGTTCTCGTGATCTTTGGTATTTCTTTAAGGCATGGGCTATCAGAAATCACTTCAATGAGTCTATCGGAACCTTTTCCAATCATTCCGAGGGCTCCAACTACAACTGAAATTATTGACGTAGTCATGTGCCACATTTTTGAGATTTCAATTTCAAGACCCTTGTATTTTGATAGATTTTTTAATTTTTTCAAATATACATTACAGTCTCCAGGGACTGCCATGTCAATAAAAAAAACACATTATTTTTTTGTGATCTCTGACCACGATGTCTGGACGTTTAGTTTTGATTGTTCTGCCTGTGTGTATAGTAAAGACTTATCATGTTCGATCACAATAAGCAGGTTTGTGTGGTGTTCATAGCAACTTCTTACAGCTTCCTTACTGTCCAAGTTGCAGACCTTCCAGTGCAGATATGTGCTCACTCAGTCATGCCGAGTTTTATATTCAGTGGATGCCAATACCGTATAATCTGATAAAAGATGGTCAATTGTTTCAGTATATTTATCACATAATCTACATTGTGGCTAATACAAAATTTCATTATGTCTGCTTGGTAATTTCTAGTTAGTAAACATTGGTCCTGTGCAGCATAAATAAATCCTTCGGTTCAATACGTAGCAACTGATGGTTATGGGGTTTGGTTTGTTTGTACGGGTAAAATACTAACCGTGAAGAGGCTTGCTTTGCCATAGTTTCTGTATTTTCTTCATTGCCTTTGCTTTTGATTTCCTTTATAGACTATTTGCCGAAGCAGTAGGCGTATTTTTTTTATTAGGTTGGTGCAAAAATAATGACGTAATAATGTCGTTTTTTGATGTATTTTTTAACGTCAAAAAACGACATTATTACGTCATTATTTTTGCACCAACCTAATACATGCATTTCTTCACCCACTTGAAATTCCATTGTCGGCTTCCTTTATGGCTGAATATAGTTTCTTATTTCTTTCATGTTCTTTGATACAGATCATCATACAGTCTTTTGTAGTTTCCTGGTATCTGAAGAACGATTGTTCTGATATTGTAAAACAGTTCTAGTTGAATTAATCCTCTTTCTACTTCGGATCTGGACACATGCAGTCGATCAACATCAGCCTTGAGATGATGCATGCAATGGAAAGTGACATTTCTCGTTTTGTCATCCACTCGTTTAATGTCAGCTACAGCCCAGTTAAAGGATGTTGAAGCTATATTTCACCATAGGAACAGCCAAGGTGTTTATGGCTGATATTCTGTTTCGCGAAAGCTGCTGAAAGCGCCAGGGGTGGCAGTACCGCCTTAGCCACCGAAACTCTGTTATCTCCTCTGGTTGGCAGGGTATTGCATGTGCTTTCACACGTAGAGTATGTAGAGAATTTGCATTCTTATTATTATTATTATTATTATTATTATTATTATTATTAGTGTACCTGTGCTGTCAAAAATGATGGTCGTTGTTAAAATGCTTTAATAATGAGATGCAATGAAACAAAAGTTTTGAAACGATGTATTGAGATTCAATAAAAGCGGAGAAAAAGAATTCACGACTAAAATAGAGGCTAATGAACCGTTTACTTAGTCCTTTACCATTATATTTTTTAGACTTTCAGTGGTATCTATGATTCTGTGGTTACTCTTCGTATTATATAAATCGCTCTTTGTTCATTATCTTTTATTGTTAAAAGTTTTATGTTTTTGATATAAAAGTGAAATGGAAATATCTCTTGGAATAAAAAAAAACATTAGCAAAAAAACGACAAAGACGGCAACGACGAAACCTATTTCAAGACCAAAACAATCTCTTACACTAATAGACAATAGTACCTGAGTGCCTCCTATGAAAAGCTTGAACAAATAAGACTGCAATCTAAGAAACGTAAGAGTAAATGATTTTTCTGGGGATATAATTTTGTCTAAATGCAGATAAATATTTTATGTGTATAGATTATTAAAATGACTAATGGAAGTAATCACTCATAAATGTACTAACATAGATGAGACAGGAAATATATAAATACACATTGATAATTATCATATAGTTCCATTATTATTATTATTATAAAATAAGTAAAAATGTAAATCTGCAATAATCTGGCAACATGACTAAATAGGACATCAACTGAAAAGATGCAGGCTTGCCGTTTGAAAGTATAGTTGGATTGTTTTGATTCTCCAGGATAAAACTGCTTTTAGAAGTAAAATGATTCTCTAGTCGTTGAGAAAAAGAAAAGGATAATAATATTTTTAGGCTTTCGTACTTTAAACTTATGAACGTTAGCATTTGGAATTTGACGGACGAAGAACTCGAAACGTCGTTTTTAAAGAAAGGCAATCGACTTAATCGCTTCCAGAAACTTTTAGCTGTCAGCACTCTGCAACATGAATCTTCGAGAAAACTACTTGTCTCTCCATCCCCGGCATTTAAGGAATGGGTGAGAATGCTAACTCCACATTTGCTTCTTTCATAAGCGAGGATTATACGTGGAACTGGCGGAGTTGATCCTTTGAATTATCCCAGTGCCATTGTTAGTGTATCTTTGTATAAGGCTCGGTAGCCACTCGAGGTAGAGGGTTACAGAGTAATAATCACGGTTTATGTGAGGAAAACAAGCTAGACTTGAACAGGTTAAGATAGCAATGATCACCCATTCGGGAATCAGTTCTGCAGACCAGCGGTTCCTGGGAGGAAGCTGCTCGAGTGAACATCACATCTCTTAAATGAAACACGAACGGAATGAGAGTTGGTTCGCTACAATGTCCGTGGTGAAGTGGCTAGTAACCGTGAAAGTTAGAACTGGTGGAACTAAGAAATGAAGTTCGTCTGAGCACTTTCCATGGAAATAGCGGTGAGAGTCTTGCGACATTTCGTCTGTGGTAAAGAAGTTGGGGAGTGGAAAATAATTTGTTACCCACAAGGACGCGGACTCTACTGAGACTGGAAAATGAAGATTAGGAGGCTCCTACCGATATATGATAGCAGTACTCCATTTAAAGACTGACCTTGTTCTTGTAAAGAAATAGGATAGCAGGAGGAATGGTACTGCAGGGAACCGCCCATTTCTCCAGCATGATTAGCAATAGATCGCATATACGATTTCCATTTCAGGTTTGGGTTGAATTTAAGTTCCACGAGGTGATCAAGACACGGGATCTCCCTGAGGGAAGATCCATTCACTGGTGTTAGTTTATGGCATTGTAGATGGTGTATTTGTCGTATTCTCTAGTCTTTTGTAGACTAACTTCCTTTCCTCTCCCCGTCTTTCGTACACTGCATGTTTATATTTTCTCAAATCTCATGGTCGCCGTGATTTTGCGTCAGTTTGTCAGCATGAAAATAATATGGCTACCCCAGGAGATTCTTTTTACGTACGGACGTCCATGAGGTATGTTTTTTTTTTTCAAACTACAGATATGAAAAAAAAAAACTGAAAGAAACTGGAAGAAAAATAAGATGTGTTACTAAAGAGAGAGGAAGAGAGTGAGAGAGGTAAATATAGAAAAAGAGGAAATATTGGACACGATAGAAAAAAAAAGAAAAACAGAGTTTGAAAGAGACTGACCTATTTGAACTGCTAGGAAAGCTCTACCTATAGGAAAATATGAGACTAACATGAGAAACAAAGATAGTGAAAGAGTCGAGCAAGTACACAAAAATAAAAAAAGAGTACGACATGTATTTTCTCATCTGATTCCTTCAACTTGTACAGCGAGACAATCCAATGAGAATTAGAAGACCATTTTTTACTAATGTTTACCCAATACAATTCCCAAGAGCCACTCAAGTTAGAGGGTTACCGACTGAGTTTGTATGAGAAGTAAGGTTAACAGGTAAGAAGAGTAGTTTATGAGGATATGTTGAAAAGAAAACAGTTAACCCCAGACGCGAATAGATTAAGAGTGTAATGATCAGGAAAGCATCCTCTTGGGAGTCTGTTACACAATAAAACGGTTCTTGAGAAGAAGCTGCCAGAGTAAAGCGTCTTTCTTGGAATGGAATACAAAGAATGATTCGTTCCCGCGTTGCAGCAAAGGTCCGAACTGGTGGAACAAAGGAATGTAGCTCGTCAGAACCTTTGCCATTGAAATAGCGATAGATTAGAAAGGCTTGTGATGTTTCGTCTGTGGAAATAAGATAGATAGGTTTTTCCTATCTATCTATCTATCTATCTATCTATCTATTCACATACCTCTCCACGTTTCTAGCTATTCACCTCTATCTATCGATATAGCTGTCTTACTCATTTACTTCACATCTATCTATCTATCTATCTATCTATCTATCTATCTATTTATTCACATACCTTTTTGATCGTTTTAAAATGTCAATGCCGATAATCGACTGATAAGCTAGTCGGCCATTATATTTACTTAAAAATAAAATAAATAAATTGGTAAAAAAATAAATTGATTACAAAAAATTATAGATTAAAAAATGAAATGATTTAGAAAAAAATAATATATATATATATATATATATATATATGCATATCTGTCTATATTTCTGAGATGAGTTATACAAAATGAATAAAGTTAAATAAAACCCTACTCGCAACACATTGCTACTGCTGACGTGAAACACATCTGTTTGCCTTCTATTCTACGTTATCAATAACGGACGCTACAAGCCCGTTATGTATTTTTACACAACATTAAAAATTTTAGTTTTTAGTTTTTCCTATCAGGTGGCAAAAGCTGGTGGTGGCACCAGGGGTGGCAGTACAGCCTTAGCCACTGAAACTGCATTACCCCCTCTGGTTGGCGGCTGACGAGGGTATGGTGTCGCACGTGCTTTCATATGTTGTATGTAGAGAATTGTAATTAAATACACTATTTACATTGTTCGGGCTCAAGGGCACATAACACAGTGGATAAAAGCGTTGGTAGAATTCAGTAACTTGACCTAAAGAGTTGTGAGTTCAATACCTGGCTACAGAAGAGGTGAACAAAAACTTCCCGAGTTGATTTAAAGGGAGATAACTGATATTGAGACATCCGGAAGAGGTATGGTACGTGGAACTAGAACAATCCATCTCGGTAGACGAAATAATGGGTTCAGTTCGAAATTCGAATCACCTGAAGAGGCCGAAGCGTACAATGGCAGAATATGGCAACGAAGATGAAGACAAAAGTCCAAACAACGTAAAACGTGTAAATATTTATGCATACATATAAAATATAAATAAAAAAATCAATTTATTAAGAACGTGTATATATATATATATATATATATATATATATATATGATTTGATATTTTTTATTTTAGCGTTTATTTATATATATATATATATATATATATATATATATATATATATATATATTGACGCATGTTTCATTAAATAATATAGACAAGTTTTGTTTACTTATTTTATGCAAATTCTTTTCATATCGTCTGATAAGCTTAATAACATTATCATTAAAAGAAGAAAGAAAATCACAATATTGATACATATTTTCTAATCCTATTCAGCTTGCATAAGTCATTATCAAAGATGACAATTACATTACAATATATTAAACTATACACGGACAAAACAATAATGATAGTCTGTTTTTGTTTACAAGCAACGACAAACTCATGCATACGAGACGCTGGAAGCGAAAATGGCACTGCAGCTCATGACGTCATACATGACCACGCGAGAGTGAAAATGAGAAGTATTAAGTATGGGATGCCGTTGGTATAAACCAATGGCTTCTTTTACCAATTATAGGCATTTAAGAATATTTGTGGAGATTTGATAGTTTATTTTGTTCAGGTTAGGTTTCAACTGTTTTATCTATATAGCTTCAAGAATTTTTAATTTTTGTTTTTTGCTTTCATGTTTAAGTATAGTTGTTTTCAACAGCCAGGCATGTTGTTTTAAATGCCTAAAAATATTAGAGTTTTCATTCAAATGTAGTGTCAAGCGTCGTGAAAGCGAGTTTGTGGTGTAACCAACATAAATATTATTTAATCCATTGGAGATACAATCTTCAAAAGGACACTTGAATTTGTAAATATATATTGGATGTATCAAAAATACTTTTAAAAACATTGGGGGTTTGCTCCGTCACACCAAAACAAGGACAAAAGTCCATATAAAAATATGTCTGCAAATCCTTCGTTTTTGAGTTATTAAGTTGAAAGAAAGTAGGTGTTGCTCTGTCGCTTACATGTTACATTCGTGTACACCTGTGCCTAGTCTGTCGTCAACGTTTGACGTGTGTAGTAGTGAGTTCACTGAGAATTGTTCCGTTTAACAATAGCAGGATATTCATATCGTGAGTAGATAGATATGATTTTTACATACGGTCTCGCGATTGGTGATGGGTGCGAGGCTGCACGGCTGTATCAGTATGCGTTTCCAGCCCGAAGGCAGCCGAGTCATCCAAGTTTTGCTGCTGTTTATCATCGGGTAGCTGACACAGGATCCGTGACTTCACAAACTATGGATCGAGGAAGACTGAGGTCCATTCGTATGCTTGACCACGAAGAAGACATTCTACAGGCTGTTAGAGATGATCAGCACACACCAAGTGACCCTAGCATGTCGGAAATCCCATAGCACCACATGGAGAGTACTTCAAGAGCAGCTTCTGTACCTGTATCATTTGCATCGTGTGCTGGTTTCTTTCGCCGATGATTTATTGTACAAATTGCCGATCCGTTTTTTTGTCTCTTCAGTCTAATTTACGGACGCGACAACATTTGGAAGAGATGGAATAACAAATTTACACAACCAACATTTGTGGGCGGATCAGAATCAGATCAGTTTCGAAACTGGTCCACAACTGTTGAAGTTTAATTTCAATATTAGACCTTAACTTTAGATGACCTTTTCATTCTCATTCAACTTGTGGACCAGTTTTGAAACATAGTAATTTCTGTGTGGCGATGGAATCGTATTTTTTAAAAATTATTATAATTTTAAGCTCTACTTCTGTATCGAGCACTGTTAGTTAAAAATAAAAACAAAAATACTAAAGAACTTTGGATCATTAATCTAACTGTTCTTTCTTATTACATCAATACACACACGCATATATATATATATATATATATATATATATATATATATATATATATATATATATATATATTCCATATAGATAAAAAATATAGTAAAAGAAAAGTGAAAATGCAACTGAAGAATATTTATTTAGAGTAACTTTTTACTTGTTTCAAAGTTCTATGACTTCCAAAAGATATAACGGAATTTTAAAAACAGGGATATATATATATATATATATATATATATATATATATATATATATATATATAGTCTTAAGATGTGCTACATTTATGGGATAAAGTGCTCAACATCAGAGATAGAGCTGTAAATATAAAAGTGAACATTGAAGTCAACACTTAGAAGCGACAGGCTGTTTCATGCTAGACGCAATCGTAGGCTTGATAATCGCATCTAGCATGAAATAGACTGTCGCCTCTAAGTGTTGACTTCTATGTTCACTTATATATATATATATATATATATATATATATAGAGAGAGAGAGAGAGAGAGAGAGAGAGATAGATAGAAAGCTTGTGGCCTAAAGTCGAATATGAACCTCAGGAGACGAAGATCTAATTTGATCCTACGACCAGAATTTCTCATTGCAATTCCTCCTCGGGGTTAGTGCAAGGAATCGACGCGGATGTCTGTTAAAAGCGTTCATCCTGCTGTCTTGCATTTCAGGAATTAATCTGAATAAAAATGTCGATGCCACAAAAATGATAGATCACCAAAAAAAAGAAAAAAGACGTATTTGGAATTACTTTTACAGGAAAATAAAACATTTTTTGTGTGTAGGGCGTCGTCGCTTTCAGGACTATCACAGGGGAAAATAATATCAAAGTAATATTTCTCAAAAAATAAGTATAAAGAGGAAGACGTGAATTATTTCCAGTTGAGTAATGCATGTAACAACAAAAATGTTCATTGATTTATGGAAGGGAACTGAACGATTCCGTCAGAGAGAAACAAATATGAAAAATATAAGCACTAGTTTTGATAGATAGATAGATAGATAGATAGATAGATAGATAGATAGATAGATAAAATCATAGATAAATAAATAGATATGTAAAATCATAGCTAGCTAGATAGATAGATAGATAGATAGATAGGAATAGATATGAATAGGAATATATATATATATATATATATATATATATATATATATATAGAGAGAGAGAGAGAGAGAGAGATAGATAGGAAGAGCTTATTGTAGATAGATAGATAGATAGATAGATAGATAGATAGATAGATAGATTGGTTTGTTTTACGGCATATCAAGCACAATGGGTTATTTAATGCCGGCAAGATTTTTATTGCAGCTAATATTTTTTTCAAGAAGTATTTCTGGTAATGATTTTACAGAAAAATATTGCTGGCAATATTTCTTTTTTCAAAAATCTATTGCTGGTAATATTTTTTTTTTTGTTTTCAAAAATGTATTGCTGGTAATGATTTTGTTTTCTTCAGAAATTCATTGCTGGCAATATTTTTTTTAAATATGTATTGCTGGTGTTAAAACCTATTTTTATACTTTCCTAGTGTTCGACCCCAGTTTGGGCGTTAATCACTTGCCCAAAGCTGTGACCCCAAAATGTGTCCCCACCACGAGCCAGGGTAGACCGAAGAACACCAGCAATTAAGAATTGGTTTCACGCTCTCCAAAACCTCCCGACCAGAAGTCTTGGTATCGAATGTAGTTCATCGTCTTACCCAAGACGCGGACGTAGTTCATCGTCTCCCCCAGGACGCGGATGTAGTTTATCCTCACACCCAGGGCAGTGATAGATAGTTAAATATGAACAGATTTATATATATGTAGATAAATAAGTGTGAAAAAAATTAATGAGAAATAAACAATCTTCAAACATCGCTCTACAAATTTAAATACATTTTATTATTGAGTATTTGTTTTGTTTCAAATTGAAAGATACGAATTACAAAGATCCTTGAGAAACAAAGTCACACAAAAATATTTTGTTTTCTTTATTAACAATATAACAGATCAATTGCATTAGTATGATAGAAGAAACAGCTCCTGCCAAACACGCTGTAGCATGTCTTGCGTAACATACTCCAGCGCCTCAAAGATTCTCTGCTTAAGTTCCTCAAGGCTTGCAGGAAGAGGTGGAGATGTAGATCTGTCCTTTTACATAGACACATACAAAAAAATCACAAGGTGTCAAATCACCTGAACATGGTGGCCATTTTAGGATCACGTTGTCATTATCACTGGAACATTCTATCCGTCTTCTTGGTAGATTCTCATTGAGATAGGTGCGCATCCAGGCGCTGGAAATTCTTTCGCAAGA